CAAATCCATTTATGGACTTAAACAAGCCTCGCGACAGTGGTTTCTCAAGCTCTCTGCAACTCTGAAGACCATGAGATTTGGAAAATCTAATGCTGATCATACTTTGTTTACCAAGTATGTTGATGGAGTTTTTCTTGGTGTTCTAGTCTACGTGGATGATATCTTGATTGTCAGTAATAGTGATGCTGCAGTAGCAGGTTTTATAGAAGAACTGAAGATGTTTTTCAAGTTAAGAGATCTTGGTACAACAAAGTACTTCCTTGGTTTGGAGATAGCCAAGACTCATGAAGGTATTTCAATTTGTCAGAGAAAATACATTTTGGAATTGCTTTCTCTTACTGGTTTTATTGGAAGTAAACCATCTGCTGCGCCTTTGGATCCAAGTGTGAAACTAAGGAAAGATGTTGGAGTTCCTGTAAGTGATCCATCTGCATATCGAAAGCTGGTGGGGAAATTGATGTATTTGCAGTTAACTAGACCAGATATTGCCTTTGCTGTCAATACTTTATGCCAATTCTCACATGATCCAAGAGACATTCATTTGAATGTTGTGCATAAAGTATTGAGATATTTGAAGGGAACAGCAGGGCAGGGTCTGTTTTATCCTACAGATGATACCTTTGATCTCCGGGGTTATACTGATGCTGATTGGGGAACTTGTAAAAACAATAGAAGATCAGTTACTGGCTACTGCATGTTTATTGGTAACTCTCTGGTTTCTTGGCGTTCACAAAAGCAAGATTCAGTTTCTATGAGTTCTGCAGAGTCAGAGTTTAGAGCAATGTCTTCTGGTACTAAGGAAATGATTTGGCTTTCTAGGCTTCTTAATGACTTCAAAGTTCCTTTCAAGCCTCCTGCTTATCTTTATTGTGACAATACTGCTGCAATCCACATTGCTAATAATTCACTATTTCACGAGAGAACAAAGCATGTGGAGCTTGACTGTTACAAGACCAGGGAGCAGATTGATTCTGGTTTTCTCAAGACTATGTATGTGAAGACTGAAGAACAATTAGCAGATCCTTTAACCAAAGCATTGTATCCGGCACCATTTCGGGAGCTTATAGCCAAGATGGGTGTTTGCGATATCTACGCACCACTGCCATCTTGAGGGAGGCTATTAGAATCATATAGTTAGTCTCATGTTGATAATACTTGTAGATAATAGCTTCTGGTTTAACCACCTAATTAATCATCTAATT